ACGACGACGACGACGACGACGACGGCGGCGACGACGACGACGACGACGACGTCGAGGGTTGATGTTGTCGGCGCCCTCTCCCGCCTCGGGGCCGGCGCTGGGCGGCCGCCGTGGGCCGCCGCGGGCCGCCGCCGCAGCGCGCCGCCGCCGCCGGGGCCCCCGGGCGCCCTCGGAGCGGGGCCCATGGCCGCCTCGCCCTCCCCTCGGAGCCTGCGAGGCGCGCCGGGTGAGAGAGACAGCGATCGTGCTGGGAGGAAGGCGCGCCCGGAGGGGAAGCGCCCGGAGGGGAAGCGCCCGGGAGAACCAGGCGGCGCGCCCGGAGGGGAAGCGAGAAGGCGCGGGCCTTCCCAGAGGGCCCGGAAGTCCCCCGGGGCTTCTGAGAAGAGTTCTCAGCTTGCCCTCAAGACACAAAAATACTTCTCCGAAGGAGCGAGGGCTTCTGAAAAGTCACGCCGCGTTCTGAGAAGGCCTTTTCCTTCTCACTTCCCCCCCTCGCTCGCCGCCGAAAGACAGCGATCGTGCTGAGAGGCGTGCCAGGTGAGAAAGACAGCGATCGTGCTGGGAGGGAAGGGCTGGGCAGATACAAGGTGCCCGTGTCTTGCCTTGTCTCGGGCGTCCGCTTCCCGTGTATTGTTCGATGTCGCGCGTCTATTCCTCTAAGATGGCCCAAGATGCTACTCAGTGATGGTCCTCGCCGTGGAAAAAACGCACACGTGCGAGCGATGCCAAGGTGCAAGAAGCGCCTTCAACTTCATGCTCGCGCCCATCAGCATGGAAATGCTGATTCAACTTTCTTCAGAAATCAAGCAATTGCGTCCCCATGGTTTGACGTCATGTGCTTGCTCTTTTGAAAGATGTCAAGATGCGGGCTACTCTCTGCACTGCGGCCGTTACAGCACCCGTGGCCAACAAACATAGATTTAAGGTTTGAAGGCCGCCAGACAAGGCTGAAAGGTCCCCCAGCGCTCAAGAGCTCCCTGGGGCACCCCAAGACGACCGCACGACAGCTGGAGACCCCGAAAGACGGGCGCCACACGGCAGGCCCAATACGGCCTCTGGACAGCCCCAATGCGATCCAATACGTACCGCTCAATACGAACCCCCGGGCCCCTGGCGTAGACGGTCCGAGACTCCCCCAAAAAACACCGTGCCCTCCAGATGGCCTGAGGACCCGGACGAACTCCCAACAGGCTCCGACAGGGCATCGGAAGCCCCCCTGAGCAATTCCCAGAGAACGCGAAGCCCCATCGAAGCATGACGCGATTGAGTCCTCCACGCTTGAAGGGCCAATATTGCCTCCAGAAAAACTGTTGGGCGGCCCCTGGGCTGCTCCGGATGGCCTCCCCGAGATCAAGGAAGCCTCCTGAAGGACCCCAAGAGGACCCCAAGACAACCCGTCACCGCCCCCAGAGCTCCGTCACATATGTCTTCGTTCGGCCGTCTTGGGCCTGGGCTGGGGTCGCTCTCGGCTGCTATACGAGAACGAAACGGACGAACGGTGATCGCGAAGCGTCTAGAGTCTGCCCGCCCGCCAGGGCTAATGGACGCGTGCGGGCTTCTCCATGAGCATCGTCTCGAGCTTCAGCACCTGCACCTGTCTGATCCCCCCGACAAGCTCCGCGCATTCCGTCGGACAACACGACTCCGCGTCCCATCTCTTGTTTCGGGCTGGCGACGATTGTGGATTGTGGAGAAGCCTCCTAAAGTCCTCATCACTGATAAATCGCCAAGAGGCCGCCAGGAGGACCCTGAGGGGCTCCAAGGCGGCCCAAGATGGCCCCAGAGGCCTCCAAGACGGTCCGCGACGGTCCGAGATGGCCCCATCACTAACAAGTCGCCAAGAGGCCGCCAAGAGGATCCTGAGGGGTCCAAGACGGCACGAGGTGGCCCCAGAGGGCTCCAAGATTCCTCGTAAGCACCGAGAGGCCTCCAAGAGGGGCCGTACAGTCCGAAGAAGCCTCAAGGCGGGTCCAACTGAAACTTGGTATCCCCAAGGTCACCCAAAGCCCCCAAAGGGCAACACGCATGTTTTCTTTGCAATGGGCCTCTACTTTTCCTAAACTTGACTCCGGCTCAATACAGTCGGACCTAAGACAGAAGAACATCCTCCAAGAACATGAAATCCTCCGCCGGCCCAAACACACAGTACAGCCAAGGATACCCTCCCCAGGATGCACAATAAATCCAACAAACGCGAAGAACACTAGGTACCCTCCCCGAACCGACCTCGATCTTATACCTCGGGTCGACAGTACGGCCTTGTGTAGCCTCTCTGGGGACCTCCAGAAGACACTTCGAGCCATCTTGGCTTTCTCTTCGGCCGCAACGGCGACAGGCGACGGGCGTCCCGGGTGGTCTTGGAAACGTGCTGAGCTGCCTCGTGCCCATCCTGAACCTGCTCAGAGGTCAGAGTACAGGCCTCGGCAAAAAAATTGGCGAGCACTCACGCCAGATTCATCTCTCGATACCCCCCCTGCCCCCCATGATTTCGACCGCAGTCGTCCCCGCGTTTCTGTCAACGTTGAATTTTTGGGGAGGGGGGGCGTGTCCATTAATCCCTCTACCGCGTGCTACTGTTATGCTGCTCCCATCGTGCTTAAGGACCACATCCCAGAAATAATTCCGAGCACCCAAAAACGTATCGAAAGAATGTCGCACGAGTATCGCCTCCCAGGGCCCGACACGTGAAAGCCCTCCAGTTTCGGTACTTTCTCGGTGCTCGAAATTATTCCTGGTGGCCAAGGCTAGAGTAGATTGTAACATTAGGTCGGGCATGTCCTCCTACAGGCGGGTTTTGGAGGAGAAATAGAAACTACTCCAAACATACTCAAACATTGTCAACAAATACTAGACAATTCGTTCCCATACTATTCTCTGACTATTTGGGAATATTCCTTTTGTAAAGGGACAGGCCCGATCTAATTGCAACAGCATGAAATTACTCCAAGAACAAGGATCTGAGCGGGCCAGCCTGCCCCGCAGCACCGTCGAGTAGCGATTCCCCCACGCAGTCCTTCCCACTCGTGCGGGGAGCAGCCGCGCTGCCCAACGGCCGATCGATAGCGGATGGGCTTGGTTTCCGAATTCAAAACAACTGTCTTGAAATCAACAAACTGTTTTTTCTTGAATCTTTGAATTTTTGAATTGCGACAATTTGTTTTGAATTCAAAGAACTGGTTTCTGAATATGAAAAAGCGTCTTGAAACCACCCGCCCTGCCAGGAGGCAGTGCGGGGGTCAGTGGAACCCGTTCTCAAAACTACAGCCCGCGAGTTTAGCCCTCCTCTGTCCGCCGACGACGCTCTGCGCATGCGATGCGGCAGATGCCCTTTCCGAATGCTGTGACCTTTCAGAATGCTTCACAAGGGTGAGCCGTCTTGACGCCAGACGTTTCCAAAAAGGGGGACATTCTCGCTCACGGCTGTTGTGGGTCTTTTCTGCGGCCATGCTCGGCTTCTACGACGGCGGATAAGGTGGCGGCCGCGAAACGTTTTGGACAACTGGGGATCACGTAGACTGGCGGTTTAATGCATACCGCAAGGTGCAGGAGATCAAGCAGCAGCAACATAAGCGAATGGATCAAGCAAACAGGTCGTGTTACACGATCATGCTTACCCATGCGCACGAGCACGCGTATGATGATTCGGAACATGGCAGCTCAGAACAGCTCTAGCCCTATCAAATGGCTATCATTCAGCACGCAGCTGCCACCCTGCATCAAGTGCGCACCTCAGAGGAACCAGATTCGCGTGACTCACCACAACGCTGCCTGGTGCTACCTCCCACGCTCGCCCGTTTTTTCTCCGCCGCTGGGCGTGCTCGTGTGCCATGCGCTACAGCTGGCCGCCGGTGGAGCAGAGGGAGCGGGTCACATCGGGGGTCCGCCACCGCGCAGCCCGGCACGCAGTGGGGCGGTGCAGTGCCCACGCTGTGCGGGCTGGGATCCTGTAGCTTCTAATGGCCACCCCTCCTCCAGTTCGTACGGCAAGTTCGCGTCGTGTCGCCCCCGGCGTTGCTTCCGGACACCGCGGCGATCGAGCTTGAACGATCGGCCGTTTCAGAAACGCCAGGTCGTTCAACGATGGGCCGATTCTGGGCCACAGGCGACGTTGAAGCTTAAACGCCCTCGCGCGGATCGCCGCCAATCGACACGACGCGAACCTGTGCCGTACCCAAGTGCTGGAAACTCCCACCTCTTCCGAGTCTCCGCGGGCATCTCGACTCTCGACACCTCCCCGGCAGTCTCCCAAACCTCCCAGGTGGTCACTGTGGCTTCCAAGACGGCTCCGGAAGGCCACCAAGGTCACAAGATAACCCAACCTTGCCCCAAGAAGGATACAACAACTATCAAGAAGATCTCAGGCAGCCGTAAGAGGCCCGAAGGTTTCCTTACAAGAATCCCACCAAAGGGCCCAAAGATGGCCCCAAGACGGAGCCAAAACCGTCCCAGACGTCAACACGTCACCCCAAGACCGCTCCAAGACTGCCCCAAGACGGCCTAGGACTTGGCGAAAACAATCCCAAGGCACCCGCTGGAACGCCCCAAGACTATTCAAAATTGCCCAACACCCTGGCAAAAGGACCCTCCAAGATGACCCGGCAACCCGCGGTAAGCTCCTGAGAGACCCTGCAGAACTCCGAGAAGCCCTCCCGCAAGCTCCTGGGAATACCCAACACCCTGACGTCGCTGTGGCCATCGGGGCCGAGTGCACATCAACACTCACGCGTCAACATCTAGGCCATCGGTGCCTCACTGCACATCAACACTCAATATCTCCAATGGGGAAACAAACTGTTACTTGTCACGGCCCCCTGGGACCATAGGGAGAGAGCTGTCAAGCGCTGCGTCCATCTGAGATCTGACGGAGACAACAATCGCACGATACTTGCACGATGGCGGAACTGCCCGCAGGCACCTGTATGGAGTGAGGAATGGAAGTCCACGCAATGGGTGCGAAGCAACGGGAAAGATAATGAAAACGATCAGCGCGGATGGCCTACTTATCGAAATGCCGCATATGAAAGCAACAACGTTTCCCTTGTGTGGTCATGGATGTGATGATGATGGCCATGGTCGTCAGTACTGTGAGCATGGTCGTGACCTTTTCCCCGCGCCATCTATGCTTTGACTGAAGCATATGTTGTGACATCGATACGATGCCCAGAGAGACCAGAGCAATCTTGGAAGAATGGATCCATCTCCACACCATCTCCCTTCACCTGCCAATGCTGCCCCGTCCATCTTCCGTCTTGCTATCTTGCTGTTTCCACCATCTGCCTCAACCTTGAGATCAACCAAGCCCCGAATGCACAGACTTGTGACCGGTTCTGGAAGCCCTGAACCCAAACATGCTGGCGCTTCACTTTTGCTTTCGCCGGGCCTCCGCCGGCACCCGCCGCCGCTTTGCCTCCGCCAGTTTACACGCCGAAGGCGAGACGCGCTGGAGGCGAAGCCCTTTCTGACCAAGCGGCTTCCAGAACGCCCCACCAATTGGCGGCGCGCAGAGGGGGGTATGGGGGAGGAGGGAAGGCTTCTCAGAAGCACCCCTGCTTCTTAGAAGGCGCGGGCCTTGTCTGTAGATGTAAGGCCGGCGCCTTCTAAGAAGCAGCCCCCTTCCAAGAAGCCTTCCCCCCTCACCCTACCCCCCTTTGCACGCCGCCAAACCAAGGCTCCACGAGGATCCCCAGAAGGCCCACAGGTGCAAAATTTAACGTTTTCTAGGGCCTACCTTTACTTTCGGCATTCCCGCCTTTTCTATCTCTCAACACTCCAAGGCGTCCCAAGAAGTGCCCGAGATCGCTCCAAGACTCCAAGACAGCCAAAGAAGCCCTGAGGAAGGGTCCGCGAAGGCCCAAAGGGGCCCCTAGACGGCTCACAATGCCCCCAAGACGGTCCCAGAGCGCCCGAAAATGCCCCCTCGAAAAATTCGAACTCTTGACTTCGTCGGTGAGGGATTCCACGAATTGGTAAAAAAAATGCCCCACGAAGCATCCCAAACTTCAGTGAAACTCCCGCAAAATTCTCACAACCATGCCCGTCATCAACAAATCGCCTGTCGCAGCCGCGACACCCGGATTGGCTTCACGACGTGGTCCCGCGCGCGATCAATCTACACCTCCTTGAAGCAAGTAAATTTTGAGCAGAATTTCGGGTTCGCAACAAATCTCCTCAGAAATCTGGCGCGAACCGAAGACCCCACCAATTTCAAGAGAATTGTATACGCTTTGGCGTCTCAGCCCAGTCCCCGACGTCACCGTTTCTAATGGCGTTTTTGCGGTCTGGGGAGTCTCGTGGGCTTGTTTCTAAGGGCTCTCTTCGGGCCTCCATTCAGGTCATCATGGGCTGGTTTGGGAGGCCTCTTGGGCGCTCGCGGGGTTCGAAGAGTTAATCAGAACCTGGCCTTCTAAAGCATTTGAGATGTGCTCCTCTCACTTCTCCTCAGTCTCGGCTCCTGCTTCTTGTCCTTCAACCTCCTCCTCCTCCTCCTCCTCCTCCTCCTCCTCCTCCTCCTCCTCCTCCTCCTCTTTGTGACGGTCTGGGGCCCCGAACCGCTCCCCGAGGGCAAAATCGACGAAACAGGTGTTCGACCAACAACTAACAAGTTTAATGCTTGAACGTGGGTGGGGTGTCTCGTGGGGGCGTCTCGGGAGCCTCTTGGGGCATCTTGGGGGCCTCTTGGAGGCGTCTTGGACGCCTCGTGGGGCCTCTTGGGGGCCTCTTGGGGGCCTCTTGAACGCCTCGTGGGGCCTCTTGGGAGCCTCTTGGGGGCCTCCTGGTGGTCTCCTCTTGATGACGTGTTTGGAGCGGCGTGGGGGGCCTCTTTGGCGTCTCTTGCGGCTTCGTGGGGTCTCTTGTAAGTGTCTTGATAGCCTCTTGAGGGCCAACGGGGCCCACCTTGAAGCCTCAGGAGCACATCTCCGGCGGAAAAGCTGGAAGGGCGAAAAGCATCGACTTGCCATCAGTTTTTGAAGGATCTAGTTCCTCGGGCTCCTCCCCAGGGGCGTTTTGAAAACTCCTTGGGCACTCTTGAGAGCACATTCGGCCGTGTTGTGAGCATCTTGGGCCGTATAAGAACAGTCTTGGGCCGTTTCGGGGGCCCCCTGGACTGTCCTGGAGGTTCTTCGGGCTCTCTGAGGCCGTGTCCGAGCTTGTTTTCTTTGGTATCGGAAGGGCCCAAGATCCCAGCCACCAGCATGGGGATCTGAGTCCGCCCTAAGGCCCCCGGTCCTGGACCCCGAATCTCTCTCTATATATATATATATTTACACATACATACATACATACATACATACATACATGCATGCATACATAGATACATACATACATGGATGCATGCATGCATGCATGCATGCATGCATACGTGCGTACGTACATACATACATACATACATACATACATACATACATACAATCATACATACATACATATACACATACATATAACATACATATACATAAACGCATACACATACACATACACACATATACATACATGTCTTATGTATGTAAACATGTATATGTAAATGTGTATATATACACAAGATATTGTTGGTTCGCTTCGCTTCGCCACAACATCTTGTCCCTCATCCTCATCCTTGGCGCAGGAGCGCGGGTCTGGTACCTCGCCGCGCTATGTGGTCACAGAATGTGGCGAGCTCGTGAACTTTCATTGCCCTAGGGGTGTAAACTTGATGTTTGTCGCGAGCTCGACGGCTCAGGGCTGCGTGTGTGTGTGTGTATGTGTGTGTTTTTGTAAGGAGTGAACATGTTTGGAAGTGAAGAACCACCCGACGGGCCGAACCAAATTGTGGTTCACGTCGACGGCTGTTTTTTTCTTCGGGGTCCCGGATGGGAGCGTCTGGCGCTCTGCGGGCACGCTGGCGCCGAGGGGCCGTCGTGTGCGTGCGTGTGTGTGTGTGTGTGTGTTTGTGTGTGTGCGTGCGTGTGTGTGTGTGTGTGTGTGTGTCGCGGGCGTCCTGGGGGCCTTATATATCTCTCTATATATGTATATATATATATATATATATATATATATATAATGATATAACATGTCTGTATGTATGTATGTATATATATATATATATATATATATGTATATATACACACATATATTCCTATTCATATATTTTTAAAAAGCCGGGGATGCCAGAAACAGCCCCCCCCTACTGAATTTGGCCCTCCCTGGGCCTCCAGGCAACCCTTCAGACGACCCGGGAGAACCTCACGAGAGCCCGAAGACGGCCCCAGACGGGTTCCAGGCGTTCCGGCGCGCTCCCGAAACGATCCCAGAGAGCCCCAATACGATCCACGACGACCCTCAAGAAGCCGTCATACCCCCAAAGATCGTTCCAAAACGTCCCAAGAGGCCTCCAAGAGCACTCCCAAGAAGGCCCCAAGAGGCAAACATCATTGATTTTCTGAAGGTTTTTGGTGAATTTTGGGGTTCTCCTCTTTTCGGCTTCCCGACGCTCCAAAACGGCGGTCTTCCGTGCGTCCGAGACCGCCTGGGAGGCTCCAAAATCGCCCCACAACCATCCGAAAGGGCTGCCAGGCAGTCCAGGCGAGCCCCAGAACGGCACAACAGGGGTCCAAGATGGCCCTAAGAGAGCCCCATGGCGGCCCAAGATGGCCCTAAGACACCCTCCGAAGCATTCCAAATCGTAAGCTGGTCGTTCAGGAAGACCGCGGTTGGAGGCAAGGTGGCCCGAGGAAGCCCCCAGAGGCCCCCAGAACACGCCCAGGAGGCCTCCAGAAGGCCTTCAGAAATCCTGAAAAACTTTGTGAGGCCCCCAGAGGCTCTCCAAGGAGGAGCCTCCACAAAAAGAGCTAAGGAGGATGGGGAGAATGCGCAGGGTATGGCGAGAATGGGGAAAAAGAGGTATGGAGGAAAAATAACGAATAACTATATTATAACGGCGATGCCGGAAAAGGCATCAAAGAGTTATCGCTAAATTGTCAGCTTGACCTTCTTTTCATTCTGCCTGCGTACCAAACTTCAAGAACCAAGGTGCATGGCGCGAAGCGCCACTGCAATATGGTATGTATGTACGTACTTACGTATGCATGCATGCATGTGTATATGTACATGTACATGCATATGCATATGTATAGGTGTATATATAGATATGTATATGTACATGTATAAGTGTATGTACATGTATATGTATATGAGTATGTGTATATGGATGTATGTGTATAAGTATATGATATATATATATATATATATATATTATATATATATATATATATATTCCTCTTCCTATATTTTTACAAGCCCGGGCGGCCGCAAAACCCCGCCCCCCCCCCCCCCCCAAACCGGACTCCAGGGATCCTGGGGCTTTGGGACCCTCCGGACGCCCATTGAAGCGGTCCCGAGTGCCTCAAGAGCGCTCCAAGACAGGCACAAAGCGCTCCAAGACGCCAAAGATAGCCCCAAGACAGCCTCAGGAGCCCCCACGACGCCCCAAGCGGCCCCAAAGAAGCCTCCCAAGACGGCCCCGGGAGGCCGAAATGGTCAATTTTCCAATGTGTTTTTCAATGTTTTCTGCTTTCTCGCCATTTTAGCTTTCCGACTCTCCAAGACAGAACTAGAGGCCCTCAAGAGCGCCCCAAGATGGCCCGGGCGGCCCCCAAAACGGCCCCAACACGGCCCCAAGACGGCTCTGGAGCGCCCCGAAACAGCCCAAGAGGCGCCCAAGAAGGCCCAAGAGGGCCCCGAGAAAGCTTCAAACGAGCCCCCACAGGGCGATCAAAAGTTCAAACATCTAACTTTCCGCCCCAAGTGGGCCCCAGGAGGCCCCAGGAGGGCCCCAAGAGGCCCCAAGAGGCTTCCAAAGGCCCCGAGGACTCCCAAAAAGAACCCACGAGGCCCCAAAATGGCTCTCCAAAAGGCAGCCAAAACGGCCCCCCAAGAGGCTTCAAAACTGCTGAATCGCCCCACTTGACCGCCACCTCCGGAACGGCTTCGCTGCGCTGCTCCGTTGTTTGCCAGACAGTGGCATCCCACGCAAAACACCAAAATGCTTGAAATCCCGGGTTCGCAACCAAATTCCCGGGAAATCGGCTGCGAACCCGGGATTCGGCACATTTCCCCGGAATTCGG